ATTTATACCCGGAGCCTAAAAACGAATCATACTCGAGTACGACTCAGTACAATCTTTGGTACAAAGAAAACATTCATATTTTAAGATAACTTGGACTCTAATCTTTCCCCTTTTACAGAGTCTGATATGTATCTTCTCGATACCAATCATATCTCATCATCGTTATCTGCTAACGTCATTCGGAGAGAACCGATCCTAGTGTCGCATTCGACCCAGCATATATCAATCCTTACTCAATCGACTCCTTGATTGACATAATCTTGAAAGCCTGTGAGTTCCCACGCTCTTCTCCCAAATTTTGGTGTAAACAACGGGTAATTAAGTATGGATCTTGCACTTTATCTTCGTTGGTGGTCTTGATGCTTCCCCTTTGTACAGTGCTATCTTTGTGGTGCATCCAGCGCCGTGCTTCCCCGCTGATGGGGAAGGCATCTCAGCGTCACCACAACTGATGCCCCGATCTGCCCTCGGGGACGAGAGCCGGGAGGCACACCAGCTGTAGCTTTGCCTCGATGCCATGTAGACGACACTTGTCATATCGAAGCATGAAATGGCTACGGTAGAGGCTATGACCGCTGAGGCCTAGGCAAGGCAAGCTGGTAAGTCATATTGGGCACGATCTTGCTCTTTCACTTCGTGCAATGCGATGACATGTGTTCAGTTGTAGGGTTTTGTTGTCACCTTTTTCAGCCGTCGAGGAGTAGCTCCACGCCGCGTAGGCCGAGGCGGCGTAGTTGCATCGGGCCAATGATGACCTGGCCCAGCACACGACTGAGGTGATCCTCCTTCACCGGGATGCCAACGACAACGCCCGTGTTGCCGCCAGTCACGTTCACTTTCATTATCATGTTCCTCATCATCTATCATCCTTTGTACCTTAATGGTCTTAGCCATGAAGCATGATGGAGTGTCAAAGAGAGAAGGCTTCTCATTTATGGCAATGCTTGCAAGAGCCTTCTTCTTGGTGGTCTTGTCATCATCACTATCATCATCATCACTTGAGGAAGCATCACAATCCCAAGTGACCACATATGAACCACCCTTCTTCTTCTTCTTGAAGGTCATCTTATCCTTCTTATCCTTCTTGTCCTTCTTCTTGCTCTTCTTGTCATCATCATCATTGTTGCTATTGTACGGGTATTGAGCAACAAGATGATCCTTGCTTCCACACTTGAAGCACCTTCTTGACTCTTCCTTGTTGTTGGATGAAGATTTCTTCCTTCTAACATGGTAGTCCTTCTTCACCATGAACTTATCAAATCTCTTCACAAAGAGAGCCATCTTCTCATCATCCATCTCATCAAAGCTCAAATCTTCATCTTCACTTGATGATTCTTGCTTGGCCTTACCCTTGGATGATGTGGCTTTGAATGCCACACTCTTCTTCTTCTCATCCTTCTTCTCCTTCTTTTCTTTCTTCTCATCATCATCTCTATATGTATCATCGGTCATCACATCTCCTAATATTTGGTTTGGTGTCATGGTGTCCAAACCACTCCTCACTAGAATAGTGACCAATGTGCCAAATCTTGATGGTAAGCATCTTAAAAACTTGTGGGAGAAGTCCTTGTCCTTCACCTCTTCTCCAAGTGCTTTGAGATCATTGACAAGCACTTGAAGCCTATGGAACATCTCTGGCACACTCTCATCTTCCTTCATCTTGAAGCTTGCAAGCTTCTCCTTAAGAATGTATGCCTTTGCACCCTTCATGGCTTGAGTGCCCTCAAATGACTTATCCAACTTCTTCCATGCCTCATGAGCCATCTCAATGTTCTTGATTTGCTCAAATGTTCTTTCATCCAAAGCATTATGAATGGCACTAAGAGCAATGTCATTGTTTTGGAGTAGCACTTGTTCAGCAGCGGTGGGAGCTTCAGCATTGGCTACCTCAATCTTGGTCTCCACCACCTTCCAAATATTTCTATTGATTGACTTGATGTATGTTATTATCTTAGCCTTCCAATAAGGATAATTTGAGCCATCAAATTGGGGTGGCTTCTTGGTGTTGTCGATTTGAGCTATTTTGACACCGAAGGTTGTTAAGCCTCAAATCATGGTGACCATGGCTCCGATACCACTTGAAAGGTCCTAATGGCTACAGAGGGTGAATAGCCTATAAAATTTTCTACAACAACACTAAACAATGTGGTTAGACAAATATGAGGCGAAGCAATTCTTGCGCTAGCCTACTAAAAATGTAAGCCACCTACCACAATTCTAGTTTCTATAGTCTCTAAGCACACAAAAGCTAAGTCACTGCACTAAGTTAGTGAGATCTCAAAGACTAACTAAAGAGCCTCACTAACCACTAGACCCGACATAAGATAACTCTCAGAACTAATTACACTAAAGAGCTTAGCTACACTAAGAATGTAAATACATGAGATGGATAGTGAGTTATACCGCCATATTGAGGGATGAGCCAATCACAATATGAAGTCAATCAATCACAATAAATACCAAGAAATCTTCGGGACAAGATGACACAATGATTTTTTACCGAGGTTCACTTATTTGTCGGCAAGCTAGTCCTCATTGTGGTGATTCACTCACTTAGAGGTTCACGCGCTTATAGGCATCACACGCCTAACCCACAATGGGGTGACCAACACAAGATGAGGATCACACAAGCCATGAACAACCCACTAGAGTACCTTTTGGCTCTCTGCCGGAGAAAGGTCAAGAACCCCTCATAAGCACCATGATCGGAGCAGGAGACAATTACCTTCCTCCGCTCGACGATCATCGCTGCACCAAGCCCCACGAAATAGAGCCGTTGGGCTCTCACTGCACTGCCACTCGGGGTTCAACGTTGTTCGCACGATTCCAACGGTCAAAACCTAACCCCGCGCGGTTAAGTGATGACCGGACGCACCCGAGATAGGATCGGACGCGTCGGTGCCATGCCAGCTCACATGCGCCATTGCTGCTTCACCCAACGACTAGATGCGCCGCTCCCCGTGGAACCCCAGTGTTAGATAAACTCTAGTAAGCATCCAGAGCCAAAAAATCTGGACCGGACGCGTCAGGTCACGCAATATCGGACGCGCTGGTGAGTCTGATCACCTCTGCCATGCTCTGTTGCTTGCGTCAGCGTACGTCATCAGGTCACCGCATGCACCTCCGTCGTGTCAGGTCACCAACACTGTTCAACGTTCGGTCACTCGACCGAGGCCACGCCACCATGCGCCAGCTGATCGGACGCACCGGTCCAGGGTCCAGTCGCTATAAACAGCGCCTTCTCAACTCTAACTTCGCCACCCTTGATCAAATATGGTAACCACCAAGTGTATCATCTTGTGCACGTGTGTTAGCATGTTTTCACAAATATTTTTAAGGGTGTTAGCACTCCATTAGATCTAAATGCATATGGAATGAGTTAGAGCATCTAGTGGCACTTTGATAACCGCATTTCGATACGAGTTTCACCCCTCTTAATAGTACGGCTATCGATCTTAAATGTGATCATACTCGATAAGTGTCTCGATCACTAAACCAAAAAGCTCATATCAAGTTTCACCTTTGCCTTGAGCTTTTTGTTTTTTCTCTTTCTTATTTTCCAAGCCGAGCACTTGATCACCATGGCCATCACCACCATCAACATGATCTTCATTTGCTCCACCACTTGAAATAATGCTACCTATCTCATGATCACTAGAGTAAATAGGTTAGCACATAGGGTTTCATCAATTCATCAAAACCAAACTAGAGCTTTCATCCTTATACTAGTTGCCATTTTCCTTACAATTTTAAAGTATTGGTTTCCTGAAGTCATTTACATTTATCTGCTAGGATCTATTATGGACTTGCCTCGATTCAATAGAGTCCATAGGAATCTTTAGTCGCTTGTTGTCCTCCATCACTACACCATTTATCTTATTTTTCTACTAGAAGTCTTTCGTGTGTCGCACTATCCTCCCATCACTACACTATTTATCTTATCTTTTTATTTGAAGTCCTTCAAGTGTCGCACTACCATATTATTTTAATCCTTATTAGAGCCCAGTCGTTGTTTGTGATATATTCAAGAAATCTTTTATTGATTATCTTAATCATTAGAGATTCTCCGATGATAAAAATATGATTTTCTGAAATACTCCACGTAAAATGCTAGAACGGAATTTTTATGTGCTCGTGGAATTGACTGACAAAGTACACTAGTGCATAAGAAAACCCAACAAACACTTCTAACGCCGTTGTCAAGAAAGCAATTGGCTTAAGATGTCATTAAATATTTTTCTATTGAATTGTCATCAGTTAGCATATCGCTGCTCTAGCGGGCTTAACCTTGTTTTGTTCTCTGTTGGAATTATAGAGTAGACTGGTTTTGACTTGCTGGAAAAAAAATTAAGGATATTCTAGAATCACTTGTGAGGAGAGTTTGATCACGAGTCGTTCCCTCACGGAAGGTTGGGTAAGGTACTCTGAAGGTTAAAATCTCCTCCTTGTATTTGGCAAAAATTTCATCCTTCAAGAACTCCAACAATAGTGGTTTAGGTTGGAAGTTACATTTCAGAGAGCAAAGCGATATTTATAGCTAAATTTGTATTGGCCGTTCACTAAGACAGCCGCTATTAGAAATGGATATATTTCCACTTTCTGCTGGTGGAAATACCTATTTTGACTTAAGCGAGTAGAAATAGGTATATTTCCACTTCCACCGGTGAAAATGCCTATTTCGATTGGACCCACAAACCCATCTACAGGTTTGATCTACAGTGGCGCCTGTATTTTTTGTGTGGCCGGTGAAAAGACAGGAAGCATTATTAGTGAAAATAGTTTCTGTAATAGAGTGTACCACATTTCTCAGCAACGATTATTATATATCACGTTTCTCAAGCCAACCAAAACATAACATGTCCAAAAGGTACAAGGTGGCGACGTGCCACAGTTTATTTTAGGTAACCTTACAGACCAAAGCTACAAAGTAACTTGTGAATTGCGAAGTCTGATGCATGTCTCTAATGCAATATCAGGTACTAAGTAGTAATACTTCTGTTTCACAGGTTGCTCGAGTCAAAACTAACAAATCCCTTCTCTTTCAAGCTTTCGATAGTCTCCTTGACGCTCGTCTCCACTGGAATTAACTCAATGCCTAAGCTTTTTATCTTCTCCTTTGATACTTGGTAGGTTGGAACAAATGGCTTGTCATCTGCACACCTGCCAAGAGGAACATACTCTTAGTTTCTTATTCGTTCTATGAACTAATAGGTTTAAGTACTATTTTATTCATTCTGAGACAAACACTGATTGAGGAACATCAACCCGTGACACAGCTGACAAAGTGACAATGCTTTTTCAATCATATCACGATGGTCTGAAGTCATAGGAAAACACTTATCCCCAAAGATATTTAACGAAGTGAAAACACAGGAGAGTGGCTTGTTCCAAACAAACCATATATATACATTGCACTGCATTTGTGAATAAGAAGCATCACATTTGAAATATATGAACTTACTTGTCCGGAAGACGAATGGTAGGATACATGTTGCGGATGATGTTGACTAGCTCTGAGTAGTGAACAACTCTTTCCACCATGCAATACCTTCCATTTGCTGAGGGAACCTCGTATGCAAGGATATGAGCCAGGGCAATATCTTTGACATTAACCCATCCAAAGCTAAGATTGGGATATGTAGACGATCCTGTAATAATATGAAAATGATGAACTTTCAAAAGATAAAAAGAAAATGATGCGATGATCTTCAATTTGTTGCCCGGATGAATCGAGAACAAAACAATGCAAGGACATTAGGGAAGGTGCCATGAGCAAAGTAGTAGTTGTAGGCAAAGTCACATAACAGTTATCATAGAGCTGTTGATCTAAGGAGTAACACATTGAAAGCCAACATAGCAGTTATCATATCTACACATTCACATAGCTTCGGAGAATGATCTTACATTTTATTTGATCTGTGGCTTGAGGACACATCATCATTAACAGAATGACAGACTTGACAGTAAATTTTCCAAAGTATATCCAAGGTTTGCAGCAAAAGGCATAAAATCTGTGAACTAGAATACACAACCTGTACTCCTGTACTAAGCACAAGCGTAAAACCGAGTCAAGCCCCCCCCCAGACAGCTCTCACCGCTGCACCAGGCCTGCCCTTCTTCCTGCGTCCCTACTGTCCTTACAAGTATTTGAACAAATAGCAAACCCAAAACGAATGGGGTTGCTATAATTTCTACTCTACAAACAGGACAGCTTAAAAGTTAATTGTACAAGCATCATACCATTGATTAACTTCAGGATTGCTTCAGCACTGGCATTTAGTGTAGGCTGCAGCAGGGGACCAATAACCATTGCTGGGTTTATAGTAACAATTTCAAATGCGTTATCCCTTGAAAACTTCCAAGCAGCCTGCTCTGCAAGTGTCTTGGACAAAACATACCATTGCTGCCAAAGAATATAGACTTAGAAAATAAACTAATAATGATAAAACAAATAACAAGATAGCTTGAGACATTGATATAAGACAATGAAATCAAACTTTGCTGAATGTTCGATAATCAATAGCCAATCAGACTTACAATTGTTGGACGGACTGTTTCTTAAGGTTGCACTACTAGTCAGGATTGGATTTGAATATATATTCAAATTAGGCAATAATTATGTAATGCTAATGACAAATGAGAAGAGTAAAATCAATTAAGCAGGATCAGTAGTGAAGCACTTCAGCATTCACAAGAAATTGTGATTGGTTGTTTACATTAGTCTTATCCTGTATTAGGCCTCAAGTAGCACAACCCAAGGCAGCAAAATATTTATGCAGTGTGTTGTTATTTGGTTGTTCAACACATGCAAGCTGTGTTCAGTAATGTTATGTTTGTTTTTTTACATTGTATTACATGTAATCATCCCGCTTCTATGTTCTAGTAGAGGTAAGGGAGGCGAGGAAATTCTATTTTTGTGGACCCCATTGGGTAAATACGACCAAATTTGGCATACTGGCTATTGCAGCCTTAGGTCTCTTTGAACACTATGGAAGCCTACATGGCGGATCCAGGAAATATTTTAGGGGGGACTGAACAACACATAACTTCGACTGCTGCTCGATCTTAAGTTTCAGCCCCCCCTACAGTATAGAACTTTGCCTAAACATTCATAGGGGCTCTACAGTATTTTCCATAGTTCCGTTATGGGTAGGGGGCTCAGCCCCCCCCCCCCCCCCCCCCCCCCACCGTTGGATCCGCCCATGTCTGCGGGCAACCTAACACTAGTAAGCTGCACTGCACAAGTCTGGATACATGCTAATGCCTAATGCTGGCAACCAAACACAAACTATTTAGTCTCTACACAATCTTGTGAGGCTACTGCATAATATGACCAATTCATTGAACTACTTAAAATCAAACAAGATTGAAATACACATAGAGCAAGATATTCAATGAATTTTAATCTAACTCAAATGGTTCATGCATCATGCACTTTGTTGGTTTCAAAGTGAATAATATGCTGAAACTAAGAAAAGTAACCATAAAACAATGAAGCCATCAGCCCTTTATCATAAATGATGCAATTACTGGTCATGGTGTACCGGACGATATACATCTCTGCTAAAACCTACAAAATGCCCATGGGCTACATAACCAGAATAAACAATACAATATCATTTAAATAAATTATTTTGAATGAACAAGGTAAACATATTCCAAAGAAAAAGGTATGTTAATATGAAAGCAAACAAGGGCATCGAAGCATGCAGATTTCAGATAATTGGACATATAAATGAACTAGGATTAGCAAAACCGATCATAATAGTTACTACTACACCATATGTGCTGAACAACCAAAATACTACCAATAATACAAAAGCTATATGAGGAAATAATTATTTATGGTAGAAAGGAGGAACAATACCTGATTCTTTTCACAAATTTGTGGATCAGAAAACCATGTCTCGTCAACCGTGACCTCAGGAGTCCTTGGCTTCTCGTTGTAGGAAACAGCAGCCATAGATGATGTGATAACCACTTTTTTAATAGAAGCTTTCTTGCATGAACCAAGAACATTGAGTGTTCCCTTAACTGCTGGGTCAAGTAACTCAGCCTGAACAGAGATACAGATAAAATAATGAAACATATAACTCCTTACATAACTAGTAAAATTTGTAATTTCTCAGGTAGATAAAGGTAATACGTGGGTCCAACTCCAACAAGGTGAAATCAGTAGATAGGTAGATGTTGGCACATGTCAATTGTTATTGTAAAAACATTACGTCTGTTAAAAACTTGTAAAAGCCTGATTAGTAATTTAATAATCCTCTGTTTAGAATCATTGTGACTTTACTTAAACCATTATTTCGGATTTTGGCTTACCAAAAAAAAAAGTAGGGCTTACAAACATAATATAGAGTAAACAAGTTGGCCTAGGTATTGGGATGATGGTCATGGACTAATCACTAAGAGGAATTTTGGGATTAAAAAGTGACCCTATCCAATAAGGAATACTAAGAAAAGTGCAGACTGAAGTACAATGCCCCAACATATCAGCCAAGGGAATGGCTCAATGCAAAAACCCTGAAGGGCATGTTAGTTACTATATTAGGTGCAAAATAACAATAATAAATTGATGGGAAGTACAGAAGCTCAACACACATGAATACTCTATGCCTTCAAGACACCATGCATCATGAAGCTGAGAAAACTGTAAATGTGTGATAAATCTAGCAGCAGACGGCATCTCTTGTTTCCATCAAGTTTCCATTAAACAAACCTTAGGATCCTTGACATTGTTATAAAAGGGAGAGGCAGTATGGAACACGGTGTCGCATCCATGAACTGCAGCGTCAAAACAGCCCTCTTCTAGCAGGCTAGCTTTAAATAAGTGCAGCCTATCCTTAGCTCCATCCAGCGCAGTCAGGTGCAATGTTTTCTTTGGGTCAGCTGAAAAGTGAAGATAACAACAATGACCGTATGTCAAAGGTAATATTGCTAAAGAATTATGGTGTGTGTGAAATGAAAAACAAAGAGCACAAAAATAGTAAAAATTAAAAAAGATACAAGAGTTTGGTAGAAGTGCAAACGCAACATAGAGAACTGCAGAGTCCCATAAAATTCGTTTATCCGTTGCCACTTGGAAGGGAAGTAGGAAATACACATGAAGCTGAAGAGATTGAACATGAGGTTGGACACTTGAGCCACATGTTTTAGCCGATATTCATGACATTCCTTTGTTTGTTCCTGAGGGTTTATCCGTTGCCACTTGGAAGGGAAGTAGGAAATACACATGAAGCTGAAGAGATTGAACATGAGGTTGGACACTTGAGCCACATGTTTTAGCCGATATTCATGACATTCCTTTGTTTGTTCCCCCACAGAGTTCCCCTGTCCCCCACCCAAAGAGGGGCTTATTCTCTCCCTTCTGGAATTTGGTGTGGTGATATGTATGGGGATACAAAGTGCTCCTTAATAAACTGACCAACCAAGTTGATCGGTACCAGCATTTTTCAGTATACAGTTGCAATCAAGATTTCGTGGTGCCTCCGGCAAGTGGATCCAGAAGCAAAATACGTAGTACCAAATCTACCATCCCAAATTTACCAAGGTAGAATATCCGGTCCCCTGCCAACCAATCAATTCCCAGTCTAACCTAACCAATCTCAGAAAACATCGCAGCAATTCCGCAAGCTACCACAAGGAGTCATTGGGAAAGGGAAGAAGAGATGGGGAGGAGGACGGGCCGGGATGCGCGCACCGGTGTCCCGCACGGTGGCGCGGACGGTGTAGCCGCGGTCGAGGAGCAGCCTGACGACCCAGGACGCGATGTACCCTGATGCGCCGGTGACGCACACCACCTTCCCCGCCCCCGTCATCGTCGCCGCCGCAGCCGCAGAGCTCATCGCCGCCGCCTTGCGTTGTTGCGTTGCGCCTGGCCCTCCCCTGCTTCGCTGGTGTGGTCACTGGAGCTGTGAAGCAGCCGGCCGCGCTGTGAGGGAGACAAGAAATGCGGGATTGGTGGGGGATTTTAAAAGCATCCGTATCCTTGGGAAAAATAGGAGTTTGAGCATCATGCGTTACGTCACTATAGGTTTGGTATTAAGGGCAATCATCGGTTTGGTATTAAGTCACTCGGTCACTGTAGGTTGAACACGTGGACTAGTCATACCGGCAACTTGTATAATTTGGGTCGGGAAAGATCATCAGTTTATAAATTACTCCCTTCATTCCAAATTATAAGTTGCTTTGATTTTTTTTATCCATTTTATTATATATCTAGACATATTATTATATCTCGATGCATAGTAAATTGATGTAAAAAAAATCAAAATAACTTATAATTTAGAACAGATAGAGTAAAATTTTCTTTACTGACAAGTGGGCTTATAATGCACGGCCGGCAGCAATGCTCAAGTCCGATTTAGCTTGATTCTTCCGTTCCTGTCGCATCCACCCTTTCTCCGTTTGATTTGATTTGTAAAAAGTGAGGATTCTTCTTGTGGAAAACTGAAATCACCAAATCGAGAATCATAGGAATAGGAATTTACAGCATAAAAGTTAGCCAAACTAAATCAAAAGAGGTGTAGAGATCCAATCCAAATGAAGAAAAAAGAACTCCAGTCGAGTCCATGATGACTGATGCGCTAGGTGGTCAGGTGCTCGCCTAAAGAAGGAAACTTTGATAGCTACTGGGAACTCCTCCCTCACGTCACCACCGGTAGGGACAGATAGGTATGTTCGTTACTCCTGTAATTTGTACTTTTTAACTTATTTTTTAGTTGGAACAGTATTTTTCTTTCACAACAAATTAGTTAGAACAATGTTTCGATTTGTTTTTTCAGCGAAGCGAACAGAACACGCACCTCTCACTCTCACCTACAGTAGCGAGTAGCGACTCACCCGATGGCCGGCTTGGTGCCGCCAGTCACCGCGGTTGCGGACGCGCCGCCGTACGCGAGTGCTGACGCCTGCACGCTGGCCGCTGGATGCGAACATGCAAGAGGGACGTGGTGGTCGTGCACTCGTGCTCGGCCTGTGTAGCTAGGGTTGCTACTTGCTAACGTGAGATGGGCTGATCTTTTTTTTTTTTGAAACTATAGACTGATCTTTTATGGGCTGGGCTGTGCACTTCGGAAGGTGCATGTATGTAGCTGGTGCCCGGTGGCGCTCTAAAACGGTAAAACCGGATATTTGCGCTTCTCAAACTGTTAAAACCGTTTGATTTACCTTTCTGAATGGTTTGGAAAGGGTTTTGGTTAACGTGGCATCATGGCAGTCATCTTACATGGCACCACGTCAGGAACGAAGAAAATAAATAGGACTTTTACAATAGTTTAGGAAAGTCAATTAAAATTTATAAAAAGTATAGAAATAAATTTTTAAAATGATCCAAATATTTTTTAGAATGGATATGCATTTAACAATACTAAAAATGATTTAATATTAGAAAATTCAATAAAATTTGTTTTAGCTCAAAAAATTATAATCAGGCCCCATCTTTTTCTTTCTTGCTCAGAATTAATTTTCTTCACTGACAAGAGGGCCTAGAATGTAGAATGCACCGTGGCAATGCTCAAAGTCCCATTCAGTTTGATTCTCCCGTTCCTGTCCGCGTCCACCCTCCCACCCGTTTGATCTGACAAATACGCCGGGATTCTTTTTTAGTAAACTGACTAGATATCTGAATCCGAAATCGAAAACCATAGGAATAGGAATTTAGGTGAATACTACTCCCTCCTTTTTCAATTATATATCGTTCTAGATTTTTTAGAGCATTTTCTAAAACCCACTCCGAATCTTGATATTTTGGCGAGATTGAAAAAAAAACTACTCTCTAACAATTCTCTATCAACTCCTAACCTTTTTGCATTTGAGAAAAAATCAACATGATCACACGGATACATATGCGCGCGTATCCATCAATATCAATCTAAAGGTGGCACTACTAAAAAATGATTTTACGAGGCACTGCCCGACGCTCACAAAATACAACCATCTCCTAAAATGCCTGCGGATTTTTTGAGGTGGTCATTTTATTTGCGTAGGCCGTCATAATAGCCCGTCTCGTAAAATGGATTTATAGAGACTGATGTTTTAGTTATGTAGACTGTCAAATTTTACCCATCTCCTAAAATTAATTTATGGAGACGAGCATCTTAAAAGGTCCATCTCCAAAAATAAAAGCCATTTTCGCATGCGAACCTCTTAGCCCACTAGGAAGCCCATTTAGCCCAAAAATCAGGTCACACTATATAAAGGAAATGAAACCTTAAGCCCCAAATCCAGACTCTCTTCCTCCATCAGCCGCACGCACATGACTGAAGCAGCGCATGGAGCGCGGCCCCTCCGGTGGCGATGCGGGGGCGCGGCACGAGGCACGCGGCCCCTCGCCGGCAACGGATCTAGGAGAAGGGCATGCACGGCGGTGGATCTAGGAGGCCCGTGCGCGTGGCATGGAGGGCCCAGCGGCTCATCCACGAGCTACGTCGGCGAGGGGCCACACCCCCGCGACAGATCTAGGAGGATGACAGATGGCACGGGCATGGTGACGACGGCGGTGGCGGTGCATCCAAGATGGCGTGGACTTGGTTGGGCTCAACGGTGGCCCTGTATGGGCTTATCGTTGGCTTGGACTATTTTTTAAATCGATTTACGCAGGTGGGCATTTGTGTCACCTACGTTAATGCCTGTTTTCGCAAACGTTCCAGCACAGGCGGACAAGATGCCCACCTGCGAAAAGCTTTTAGACCGTATGCGTTGCTTTTACTGTAGCAGTATGGAAGAATGTGAGAAAGAATAAAGAGTAGAAAAGGGTTCCTAATACAAACTAAGTTGCTACTAACAGAACAGTTAAAGTTGCTCAAAGAATTATCAAACCATCTCAAACTGCATTTTTGCCCGGGCAAAATATCATTTGAAAGGACCTTGATGTCGCCTAGAGAGGGGGTGAATAGATGATTATGAAAATTAACAATAAACAAAACTTCTGAACAGATTAGCAGAGTGCTGAACCTTAGCGCTTGGACGCTAAACTTCAGCAGAACGCAGAAAAGCTCAAATAATATGAACGCCTAGAATCCTAGCTCAAACCAAACTTGTCGATGTGTTTGGAGATGTCTAGTAGCAAGTCCACGAAATACTTGCACTCACAGACACTTACAACCAAGTAGATCAAGTGGAAAAGAATTATTGCAATTCAAAACAAGAGGTGGGACACGAGATTTAACCCGAGGTTCAGTGGAGCCACAAAGCTTGCCTATGTCCTCGTTGTTGAGGGAGCCACAAAGGCTCGGAGTCTCTTCCAACTCCTACCTCTTCTCAAGCGAACCACAAAGATCGAGCTTGAGGATTTCCACTAAGCCACAAAAGGGCAATACAAACTTCCCACGGCTCACCACAAGCTTGGGAGCTCGCAGGGCGACACCTAGCCATCTAGGAGGCTTCCCCTCCAAGAGTAACAAATGCTTCATGAAGAATGACGAAGCCCGTCAAGTGCTCAAGGTTTGGTTTGCTCTCAAACACTTAATCTCTCACCCCAACACTTAATCACTCACTAAGCACACTCTCACAAAGAGAGGGGTTGGTAGAGATCTCACAAGGCTTTGGAAGTAGTTAGAAATGTCCAAGGCACCACCAGCAGCACTAGGGGCGTGGGAGGGGTATATATACCCACTCCCACAAGAACTAGCCATTATGGTTGTCAAAACGCTGAAGTTCAGTGGTCTAAGAAAACAACACAGCATGCCTTAGGAAGAAAGCCATAACTGTTTACTCTGGATCACGATTTCGATGATCTTAGACTTTTCAGAAATCTTATTCCAAGGGCATCCAACCCAACCAAGAACGAGCTCTAAGATCAACCAGTGCAAGTGTTGTGCAATTGTTTCTCTCATGTTAGCACTCAGGGTTCGGTTAGTTTGAGCAGTTGAGACTTGTCTAACTATTCGTGTTGCATCCCTTTGATAGTACGACATACCTATACTCAAGAGCAAATGGATAAAACTATTTTAACCACTTGAGTCTTCAATGTCCTCATATGCCATATCTTCTCAATAGAGGTTGCAACCATGTTTGTCTCAATCCTTTGAGCAAATCAACCATGACCTTAAGCTTGTGACTTGAACCATTTCAAGACATGTGAGTTCCATTCATAGCTTCAAGTCACTTCCACTTATGATTCAACAATGATGTGATCCTCCACACAATATGACTCCTCATAGCTTGATTAGTGCCTCAACTCAATGCAAGTAGTCTCTTCTTCACCGCAGCCGTGGTCCATCGGTGCCCAAGCCCTTGCTTGCCCTTCACCTTTGCTCGGACTTTCGAAGCCCTTTCCTTGCTATCTTTACCCTATCAAGCTATCCTCAAGTCACATCATATCTTGAACCGATATTACATATTCATTTGAAGTCCAATAGTAATCATTATCCTTATCCAAGTAATACTCCAACAATTGTCCATAAACCTTTCATGACATGCCTCATCTTCTTTTGATCATATATCTTGATCAACATCAATATAGTCAAGCCAACTCATGATTCCTTGTATCCTCTATATTTTGGCTTGACACACTTCACTATCAACGTACTTGACTTCCTTGGCTTGCTATTTCTTCATAATGCCATTGTTGTTCATGTTCACTCTTCATACTTTTAGTTTGATCAATATCCATCCACGATTGATCTCTTCTTGTTCATGCAAAGCTAGCCACCTATATGCGACCAATCCATATTCATCAACTTATGTCTCATTTGCCATTTGCCAAATATACTTGCTCTCATATGAATCCATGATATCCCACATCAGAGAAGCCATTTCATCAACTCTAATTGCATTATTGTCTTTTGATTGAACTAGATTATTTCTATAATATTTCAGTACAACAATACACAGCTTTGGCCTT